ATACTATACTATACTCATACCTTTACAATACAGTATTTTAGTAGAAAAATGACTCAAATGTCTCTAATCAAACATTATATTACTAAAGTCAAACAATTTTACATACATATCTCCATTGCATTTATTTGATTTGCAGCTATGAAACATTCAGAAAAGCAAACTACAATTAAAACAATACAAAAAAAGAACTCATCAACTTTAATTAAGAGTAAAGGTACCATTGTACTGAACAGCAAACAAAATATTAGCCCCCACTGTTGTAGAGACATGTAAATTATTTCATTGAAGGAGCAGCACAAACATAGCTATTTTAGACACTTCGTTCCAATTAAAAACAGACATTATTAAATTTAGATGTAGTTGGTTTTTTTAAACTAATAAATACTGTAATAAATGAATAAATACTCCAGCATAAAAAATGCTAAATAACAAAAAAAAAACTCTCTATAAAACTCATCTTTAATCAGTAATTTAACATATCATTTAGCTATAATAAAACAAACACTTCCCTCTTTCTGAATTTTTTCGCTCAAAATTGTATAATGATAAGTATTCAATAAGCTAAGTTTATGGCTTTTAAGCTGTACTGAAAGAAACTTGTAACAACCAGCGTTATGAATGAAATGTATGCTGCAACGAGCCGTACTGATATCCTTCTCTGGTCAGAACAAACTATAAAGTGATGCCAAAAGTTGAGAAATCAGGACAAGTGGGACGCTAATATTAAATTAAATCTTATTAGGGCAAATCTTTCCAGATTCCAGTTATCTGTTCTTCGCCTGCATATGTATCTAACATGTCATTAAGAGGAGTCCTGTCTTTTGGTTTTCCAGGAGCTGGTTGCAGCAGGTCTTTGTAACGCCATCGGTGGTTGTTTCCGGTGTTATGCAGTGGCTTCCTCTCTGTCTCGGAGTCTTGTCCAGGAGAGCACCGGGGGCAAGACACAAGTAAAACAAACCTTAATCTGATTGCAGTGTACATATGGTTCTGTGGAAAAGCTTCAGAAAGTTTTCAACCCTCAACTTTAAAATAAGAGCAAGGGAAAAGTTAAAGAATTTGGAATAATCCACATTAGGAACCACATGTTTGAAACACCATCAACTAAACTTGCTCACAAGCAATTTGAAGGCACAAACAAGTTCTCACAAAATCCTGGTGTTTACTTTGAGGTGTTTAATCCTGGTGGGTGGGTTTTTTTTGTGTGTGTGTTTTGTCAGGTTGCAGGGGTGGTCTCCTCAGTTATTGTGCTGATCACCATTTTGAAAATAGGTGCCTTGTTTGAAGACCTCCCCAAGGTACGGTTGCTTTCTTTCCCCATCTTTTCTCACACATCACCAAACCAGTAAATCTATGGGCATGTGTGTTTGCGTGTGTGCGTGTGTGTGCGTGCGTGCGTGCGTGTATGTGTGTGTGTGTGTGTTATTCCTCAGGCCGTCCTAGCCACCATAGTGTTTGTGAATTTGAAAGGAATGTTTAAGCAGTTCATGGACGTGTCTATGCTGTGGAGAACCAACCGAGTTGACTTGGTGAGTTGTAATCTGACTAAACTCTCCTCCTGCCTTGCTTGTTGCACCGCTGAACCTCACTGACTGCACGTGTGTCTCCATCTAGCTGGTGTGGCTGATAACGTTCATCAGCACCATCCTGCTCAACCTGGACTTGGGTCTGGCCATCGCTGTTGGCTTCTCTGTGCTCACTATCATCTTCAGAACACAAATGTAACAACTTTTATTATTTCTTATGAATGTTTTTTAAAAAAGAAGTTCTCAGCTAAAAAAAAGTGTTGTGTTTTTGCCATAATAAGGACATTTTAAATCCTTTCAGACCCCACTACTCCATCCTGGGCAATGTGCCAGGCACTGACCTGTATCTGGACACAGAGCGCTACAAGGCGGTAAGAATATAATATAAAGCTCATCTTTCGCTGAAGAGTTAAAGGCAGAGTCAACGCAAACTAAGAAACAAACTTCACAGCTACTATTTGTGATATTTGGACATGTAATTTAAACTGTAAGCAGCAGAGAAACACACACTCACACTGTTTTAATGTTTGAATTACAAAAACATGTTGAATTGAGGTTTTCTAAAGAAATTTCTGTGTGAACCTAAAAACATTTGTCGCAATATTTCATAAAGTTGTTTTGATCTCTATTAGAAATGAGCATTTAAGTGAGTGTAGTAATCCATTGTTGCCCTGCAAACAATTTTTATTCTTGTTTATTCATCAAAAACAGAAGAAAAGAAAAGCTGCGGAAGGAGAATTATGTTCATCACTCTTCATATTTCTGTTACCGCTGGTGTCTCGTCATTCTGAGACATTAAATTAAGACAAACCATGTAAAACCAGGGCTAATAAAGGCAAACTATAATTGGTGAAAAAGAAAAAGTGTTTTTTGTCTTGAATTTATCCCTGCAGGCCAAAGAGATTCCAGGAATAAAAATCATCCGCTCATCAGCAACCATCAACTTCACCAATTCTGAGTTGTACCTGGAGTTCCTCCAGGAGAAGGTGTGTGGACGTGTGGGACAACAAATGTCCAACGCAGTCCCTCTCTTTTCTAGTTGTCAGCACCCTCAACGACTTTCGTTATGTCTCATTCTCGTCTCGTTTTCTCTCTCCTAACGATGACACCTGGACGTTTCCGCTCAGAGTGGGATTGAAATCGAGAAGCTGCATAAGGAGAGGAAGAAACAAGAAGCCAAGCAGAAGCGTCAGCAAGAGAAAGAGAAAAAGAAAAGGAGAAAAGATGCTAAGGTGAAGGCGTGATCCCCTGCTCTTTTAAACCTTTTTTTTACTAACTTCAGCGTGGCACTTTTTTTTCCCTGATCCCTGGTTTTTGCCATCTGACAGAAAAAGAACTCGAGTCATCTGCCGAGTGCCACCAACGGTGTGAAGGATTTACAGCTGGATGGGGGGAGTGTATTTACAGTAACACTGGATAAGACTAATCAGAAAGACGTAGTTGCGAACCTTACAGACTCCACCACAAACAGCTTTAACAAATGCCAAACAAACATGGCTTACCAAGCTGACTCGAACATGTCTGACTCAGACTCAGACCGCAGTTACGAAGACATCCCAGAGATTTCCTATCGAGGAGGTGAAGGAGACGCAAGGGCCTGCGGGTCAGGCATTCACAGCGTCGTCCTGGACCTGTCCACAACCAGCTTTGTGGACACAGTCATTGTGAAGATGCTGAAAAATGTATGTCTGGATTTTTTTCCCCCACATTTTAAAAACTGTTTTTTTTTTATTTGAGTACTTATTAGAGTTTTCCATACATTTCAGATTTTCAGAGACTTTAAAGCTGTTGATCTGGACATTTATCTCGCCGGCTGCCAAGGTAAAGAACAAACAGCAGTCAAAACAGAAACAGAGTTGATGTCAAAATCAAAGCATTGAAAGGTTTAATGATGAACGCATCAAGGTCTCAGCCTGTGTGGCGCCACGTTGTTCCCTTTGGCTCACAAAAGTCAAACACTGGCATATAATTATGATATTCTTTCTCCTGCGTGATCAAGCACTCTCTCTTTTTCTTTTTTTTCTCCCCGTGTTTATTTGTGTCCAAACTTAGCCTGTGTGGTGGAGCAGCTGGAAAAGGCAAACTTCTTCTCCGAGTCCGTCCCAAAGAGCAGACTGTTTGTCTCAGTTCATGATGCTGTGCTTCACATCCTCAGTAAAACGGGACAGAGAGACATCGTGTTTGTGAGTGGATAACTGTTGATAGTTATTAATGTCTTCTCATGTGTATGCATATGTTTGTGTAAATATGTTATGAACCACTAGGAATTATTGGAAATTTCAAAAATGAATCATTGGATGTGCATCTCCAATTTATTATCCATTGGTTCCAACTAAATTCAAGATGGCCACCGCAGCAAACTGACCTTACAAAAATATATTAGCAGAGGTGTCAAAAGTATTCACATTCATTACTTAAGTAGAAGTATAGATACTAGGGTTTAAAAATACTTTTTGGGAAGTAGAAGTATCAACTCAAGCTTTTTACTCAAGTAAGAGTATAAAAGTACGGGTTTTAAAACTACTTAAAGTGTAAAAGTAATGGACAGTATTAAGGATAAAAGCTCAGGCTGTTCCAAAGGGTTCTATAGGGTCC